AAGGTCGCAAAGCCCCGGTTGATCCCGGGCTACACTGGCTTGGCTGTACAAGACGCTCGCGGACTTTACAAATAATTATTTGCAGACGTTTGCAGGTATGCGTCATCTTACGGTTTTGAATACGACCGCCACTTGAAAATTGTTACGGATTTCACGAGAAAGGTGAGAATATAATTCAGACACATTTTTTGATCCTTCCTTGCGAGATAAAGATTAATTCTCCACATTAAGCACTATTGTTAAGTTTCGGACAAATTTATGAGAATAATAATAAAAAGTATAGGCCTTTACAATATTAAAATGAGAAACTGCGTTTCACTTTCGCAGAGAACACCAGCACGTAACAGCTTTAGGTGATTAATGAAAGAATAGCCGAGCGCGGTGTGCGAAAGTCGCAAAATGGAGAGAAGAAGGCCTTCTTGGATTTGTTGCTCGACGTGCAAGCAGAAGGCAATCTCTCCTACGAGGATATCCGCGAAGAGGTTGACACTTTTATGTTTGAAGGTGAGCCCGATCGACATAACGGCTTCCTCAAAACCACTCGAATATTCCTTTTAAGGTCACGACACTACTGCGTCCAGTATGGGCTGGACGTTATGGTGTTTGTCCTGTAATCCACAGCTCCAGAAGAGGCTTCACGAGGAGATGGATGAGATTTTCGGTATGACCTCCTTATCCTCTACTTTTGGTTGGAGCAGGTGCAGTGATGAATAAGTGCAGGCTCGTCGGATCGCAGCTGCACGAACGAAGATCTGAAGTCGATGAAATATCTCGAAAAATGTATCAAGGAGTCGCTCAGGCTTCGCCCTCCGGTACCGAACTTCACGCGCAAACTCGAACAGGATATCGAAATTGGTCGGAATATCACTCGTCGTAACTTCTTCCGCCTTTTATAATCTTGAGCTTTTTTTATTACAGAAGGAGTCATGATACCGAAGGGCTGCTCAATCATGATCACACCCGCCATGATTCATGCAAACGCACAGGTTGGCTCTGCTCTTTATAAATCGAAATACCCAGGCAAAACAGCAACCGCAGCGCAAGCCATCGCCTCTTCTTATAGCGAGTGCTTACGCAAACATTGTCTGGTGGTTTGGATTCTTGAAGGCGGATATCACGATGGAAGGGCAGCTCACTGGAATTACGTTAGACATAGTCACTGAGCACGAAAGAAGAAAACAGCGAGAAAAAGGTCTAAAACCTGAGAAATGGGACGACTTCCGGATCAGTTGACTGCTCATACAATGAAGCTGATAGCGAGGCGACTGGTGAATTCGAGACTGCCGGCGAGCTGGTCCACACCCCCACAACGGACACCAGTATATCTGGAGATGTCATTATTCTCTGAACATGGCAGCACCAACAACGGCAAATACAACGTCAACACCTGATTTTCTTGGAGCGATTCTCGCACATTGATGCGAAGAGACGAAGCACCAATTCTGAACAAAACCAACAGGCAACGGATGCCCATCTTCATCGCAAGGCCCAAGTAGATGAGACAGTAATCGAGAAAAGCGCCGACCCTGCTACCCATAGCTTCCTCGACCTGGAGAAGGCGTTCGACCGGCTACCACGAGCGGTACTATGGAGCGCTTAGGGAACGGAACGTGCCAGAACACCTGGTCTCGCTGGTGAAGGACATGTACGATGGGGCGAAGGCAGCTATACGCACCCCACACGGCCTAACGAAGGAAGTGGACATCACGGTTGGGGTGCACCAAGGGTCAGCTCTGAGCCCGTTCCTCTTCCTCCTACACTAGATGTCCTGGTGAAGGGCTCATGGAAGGACCACTAAAGACCATCCTCTACGCTGACGACATCGCCCTGATAGCGGATAGTAGAGAGGAACTACAGGCCAAGGTGCAGCAATGGCAGAAGCGTATAGGTTGTCCCTAAATTTGATTGGCTGTGACATTATCACGGCTTCACAAATCAATGGATCGAAAGAGATACCTACGAGAATACAACTCATAGCCTGGAGCTTTTATGCTAAAGCACCGAGTAAGAGAGTCAAGAGCCCAAATCACTTCTTGGTTAATTTTCAGTAAAATATCGTTGCAGATAATGCATCATCGGCGAGAGAAAAAGAGTAAAGGAACCGGCCGATAACACCTCTCTCGAGCAATATGAAATATACAGTGCGGCCGGCACAGCAGTGTGGACCGGTGCTATCTAATTGCGAGGAGAGGGATCACACGCGGCAATCAATGGAATACGTCAAGAGCTGAGAAGGTGCGAGTCCACCTGCGTAGAGAGCTCTGCGATGCGAGTCTAGAGAACACCGGTCGGAAAGAACACTTCCACAAGAGCTGTGGCGAGAGATTAGTTGAATGACCATGAGCGAGAGAACCGAGACGGCATCGCGATCAAAATCCTAAATAATACGGCAAAGACGAGTAATCAGAGCAGGCCGAGAGTGCCCTGAGAGAAAAGTAGAAGAATAGAGTCGGACTAACGAGGACACAACACGTTTCGAGCAACTAGCAGCACCAAATGGCACCTGCAGTTTCCCGCGGGTTCACCTGAACGCCTCGTGTGCATGAGTGCCCTCGAGCTAAACACTAATGCCCACACTACGCATGAGAAATATCTGAGAAACCAACAACTCGTGACATGGCGATGCCCTCGAGGAGTGTCGCGAAGTGGAAGACTAAAAACAACACAGGCGACAACGCGCAGTAAAGTGAATAAATATGGGCGCATCAGGAACGAGATGTCACGTAGCCAAAGGATATCAAATATTTATGCTAAGGGCAAAATACATATAAGAAGCCAGCCGACTACCCATGCGTCCAAGCCTTCCCTTTTCAAAGCAAGTTATTACGCTGAAGGTGAGGGAGCAGCGACTGCGGTGGTATGGGCATGTGCTGAGAAGACCGCAAGGCCACCCGATAAGGAATGCGATGGACTTCGAAGTGCAAGGCAAGCGACCGCGAGGAGCCCCAAAGAAGAGGTGGAAGGATGTGATCAAGAAGGACCTAAGTGAAATCACGGCCACAGCAGAAGATGCCCTAGACAGAGCGAAGTGGCGACGACTGACAAAGACAGCGGACCCTGCGACTGCGCGGGACTAACGCTAGGGAGAAGAAGAAGAAGAAGAAGATTCTGCGCGCAAGATTCCTATAACCCAGTTCTCTCCTCACCTCACCAGTGAAATGTGAATAATAAGATATACGATACAAGACGTTGTTCTGGCAAGAGATCCCTGACAACCACGTTATTGGGCGTCACAAGCCGTTCGGCCCGCCCCACTGCCGGTCGCTCCGCCCATGATTGTTGTATCGCTCTACCGATCGTTCAGCTCTCTATATTCCAAGTATCCGTTGTCATGCTCTCTCAAGCCCGCCCATTTAACCCATGAAAAAACACATGGAAGGTCTGCATTTTTGGTGTTTTTTTTTCGATTTTTCCTTTTCTCTCGAACGGCGGGGTAATTCGCACCTCCACTTTCCCAAGTGGGACTGCGACACCACTTGACCCTGAGGGTTACTACGAGATGCTTAGCCGACCAGCGGAAAGTATTGGTAGTTTTATCGCTACTCTTTTAGCTTCAGCCCTGACATAGTATAAAAACAAAAGTATACAGATACAAGTTGGAGAAGGAAGCCGGCACCTTCTCCTCCGATTTGCTTAGTTTACTTGTCCGCTAGAGGTCGAAGGCGAAGCAATGTATTAGGTCGTAAGGAAAGTTCTGGCCGTTTTCGATAATTCAAGCTCCATGGCATTATTTCTGGCTAGGGTTTCGACGGACTGCTACGTGTTACATATCGTTAGGAAGCACGTTTCTTGCTCTATCTAATCGCACTGCAAGCTTTGCTTTAGAGGGACTACTCCCACTTATTCGAAACATTAAATGCAACATGCTCAGTTTCACCTTTGCGAAATTTTGTTGACCATAGTCATGACCGAACAACTCATCCGAAGTTCATGGGTTATTGAGAAGACTCCATTCTACAAGGGGAGTCACGATCCGGACAAAAAACGGGTCGTTTTCGTTGGAGGAAAGATTGCAGAAGAAAGGCAGATGGTCCCACGGAACCGCGATTTTTCGCAACACCCTCCTTATCGACGTTCCCGTGCTTCTTAAGCTATCCCATGTAACTTGAAACCATAAATTGAATGCGCCCAATTTGGTAGCGGTCTTCTTAATTGTTTGAAGCACATTTGATCCCATCAAAAGTTTCACGTAATTTTTACCGAAGTTCGAAATCCAGCGATCACTATCGCCAATTTCGAGGCTATCGCCATCCCTATACAAGCTCTCCAAACTATAACTTCATGCTTATTTTTTGCAAATGCATGGCCAAACGAATAATTTATATCATAAGCTGATTCCGCTTCTTTCTGCCCTAATTCGAGGTAGAAGAAGAAAATCGTGAGGATTGGCTTGGTGAGCATGCTGCATTCAAGGCTTTCAAAAAGTGGGACCAGTCCCTATTGAGCAAAGCTTACCGCGGATTTGGATAGAGCAAGAAACGCACTTTCTAATGATATGCAACTCGCAGCAGTCTGCCGGAAAGTTTGCTAGAAATAATGTCATGAAACTTGTACTGTCGAAAACGGCCAGAACTTTCCTTACAACCTAATAATGCCGCTATCTGCAACTCGACATCGGAGAATCGAGTAATTTGATCCACAATGCTCCCCCACCCCTCTGCTTCCGATTTTTGATTGTAAAAAGTCTATGCATAGGTCAAATTCGCATTCGATGACATTACAATTTCTAACCAGAATTAAGTATGAGGTATATTTGGAGAAGGATGGATAAAGTTTTTATTCCTTCATCGCTCCCTATTCAATTTTGTAGGGAAACCCAGCTCTATCTGAAGATCAGGAACTGTGACTGTGAGATGGTGCTGATTGGATCTAGCCCCATAAGGGAGGGTCCCACATAAAGGAGACAGGCGGACCTCCTAAGGGTGCGACCGATACGCAATTCGATTGAAGAATGTGCCC